CAAGGCCTCTAAGTTACCTCACAGACAGCTATTAAAGAAATCATTATGAATACGCTGTCTGATGTTTGAAACGTTGTTTTAACATTGTCAGTGTAGAAATCTGTAAAGCGTCTTTAAGTTCCTCTACAACGAACCATTTTACATCAAACCACTCTGAAAAACCTTGTTTACTCGGTGGTTAAATTCTAAATTATGATTGAATGATTTTGAAAATTTGGTGAAATTTCCCTTTTAAGAAGTTTTTACATTTAAGAGAGCCTTAAATTAACATAATCATATTCTGAGATGATGATTGTGTTGGTTGTGGTATGTTTCGCTCTAGAGTGGTCTGTACCAAACCTAAAGTCTGTGTAACACCTCTCCCCTCCACTACTTTTGCCAAAAATCCTCTTCCTGAAACACACTGAGCTCTTCCTAAATCACTGATGATTATGCTACAGAACCAAGAAGTAATGGTTGGTGATGTTGCTGTCAGTGGAGAATGTACTCTGTGAAGTATCAGGATCTTGCCAGTGGATTGCCAGGAACTGACCAATTTAAGGATTAGAGCAGTAAAGATGGTGTCGCTGCTGATGCTGATGTTCGAGCTTTTGGTCTTTTCTTTAATTTTTTGTTTTTGATTTGATTTCCGTATTTTGGGTGGAGTTTTTTGCATGCGTCACAGTGCATGCCAGACGATTGCCCTTGTGCATTTGCTTGCAGAGTCTGTGCTGTATTTTTGTTTTGTTTTGTTTTTTCTTTCATCTTATCGTGTATAACATTTTGTTGTAAATCCAAGTGTTCTCTCCACTGTGTGTTGTTCTCTGTATAGTGTTGTGTTAATGTTTAGATTTTACTTCAGTTAAGTCACTACTTTCAGTAATGTTTTTGAATGTTTGATTAATTTTAGTATGATATGGTACTAGGGCCCAACCAATATATCAGTTGGCTGATAATATCGGCTGATATTAAGATCCTGTGCATTTAATGGTATTTAGTATTTTGTTTTATGTTGTAACAAACAGACACCCGTTTAGTTTATAGAGACTGCTAAGCTGATGGTTACTACCTGCTCACTACTGCTACAGCATTAAAAGCTGAGCTGGTACATTCAAACAGAAAACACAAGAATGGTTACAATAGCAAAAGCAAGTAGTTCATCCAGTCCTAACCTTTGGCATGGGGGTATCATATTACAGCACAAAATAATCTTTCTATAGACAGAACTGATAAAAAACAAGGGGAAAACCCAAATTAACAGAAATAAAACCATTATGAATTATGAGAAGCTCTGCACTCATGCTGTAAGATGTTTTTTATTATCTATACTATTTAGTGAGTTTCTGCTGTGTATGTGGTACAACATGGTACAAAAAATGTGTTACAATAATGTAGTTACTTTTTCCTATATTGAAGTAGTGTAATGCATTACAGATTAAATTTTTGTGATTGTATTATTTATTTGCAATTTTTAAAACTGAAATTTCCTCTATACAGATTGTGTTCCGAACTTGTCTTGATCCGTAATTTCTAAGCACATGTGCTGCCTGCTAAACTTGTTAGCAACCTGCTGATTCAGCTTGTCACACTATTATGAAACTGATGGATAAAGATCCTCATACTGAAGAAGAAAGAGTCCAAACCTCACCTAACCAGGCCAAACTCATTTTAATTCAGGAGCAGATATGTAAATTTTACATAATAACATTTTATTTTTAAAGATTTAATTTTGAATCAGCTGTTTATGGACTATTTCTCAGTTGTCAAACAGCACAAGCCGTTATAATCTGAATGACAGACATTTTAAATGATGTTTACTGTGATTGGCTGTTTCTGGATTGAATTTTACCATTGACTTTTCAGTTGGATGTGTAGACAGTCTTATGCAAAGCACCTACAGATTTTGTTGATTTTCTAAGTAAAAAATAAGTTAACACAATCTTTACAGGGAACAGCCTTGAAAATAACATTTTCTGCAAAATTCAATGCACAATTTCTATTTCTTTGTCTAGTTTAACCTAAAAATAAAAAAATAAAACATAAAAACTGTACTTCCGAAAGGCCTGTGTTGTTTTATATTTTATTTTTATCCAGTATGTTAAATTCAGCAAATACATGGTAATTGTTTATCAGAATATGGCAGACGTTTGTTCTCTGTAGAGAATGTGTACTTAGAAAATCAACAAAACGTGTAATTTGACCAGCATAGATGCAAAGATTAGCATACAGTTGTAGGTGTCATGGAGTAATAAGGAAGTAAAATAAGGAGTGATATGATTGCTTTTTCCAGGAAGTAGTAAGTAAAGTAATTTCATTAAAGTTTGAGAGACATGATTAGTAATGGATTGCTTTTCAATTAATCACGGATTACTTTGTAATACAGGATATGGTGCCCCGACACTGGAGCTGATGATCACGTTTATCAGTTCGCCATTGACTACTGATGGTCATATCATTCAGTAAAGCATAGTTAAACTGCTAAACTATTCAACAACTAAACTTTTATTGGAGTCTGTGTAATTTTTTGACCACATAAACGAAATTGGCTGATATTATCAGACGTCAGAATTTCTATCTATTGGTGTCAGTATCACAAAATTACCATGTTGGTTGGGCCCTAAGAGGTACTAGTTGGATGTTACTTTCAGATGTGCTGCTGTGTAGTATGTTTTAGTAGAATTTTGTGTGAATGGTGATTGTGGACAACATAGAAGAAAATTCCATTGCTCTTGTGCAGTGGGAGCACACACCACCCTCTTGATGCTACTGTAGATCTTGCAGAGAAAAAGAGAAGAGGCCTTTGGCAGCCTTTAATGACATCAGGCTTAGCTAATGCTCTCCCACATTGCTGTATTACTTTCGCTGTCAATACCAAAAGCATTGAGAGCGAGTATCCATGGTGGTGAAATACAATCAGTAGCACAGTCACACACTAATGATAGCTCATCCAAACCTGGAGACAGGATGTCTGACATGAGCTCAGAGACTCTTTAGTGCTGTTAAATAGTAAAAAAAAAAGGGATATCGTTGTTACACAAATCCTTCAGATTTAGTTGAACCTCTTGCAGAGGGTGTTTTGGAATGGGAAGACATGAATAACATGAACCTCATCAAACCGTTCCTCTGCCAGACACGGCTGACTCCTCCTAAAGCCATCAACCCAGCAGAGTCCTCTCATCTCAGGACAGCCAAGCATGCAATTACCACTGCTCATTAAAATACTTAGAGGGATTGAGGCAAGATCTGTGAAGATCATTATGTTCAATAGCATCCAGACACTGCTGCAATAAAAGCACATTTGTCCACTCCCCTCTAGCCAGATTCTCCTGCTGTTTGGCATCGCTCAGCTTTCTGAGCGTAAACAGACGCTTTCACATGAAAAAAAAAAAAATCACAAAGACTTACTCACACCTGAGAATAAACACACACAGTTGCAGTTAGAACTGGACGTATGTGTGTGTTCTTTGTCTAAATGTAACTTTGAGTCTTCACTAGAGGGTGAGCTCTGTAGGACAGGTTTAGGCTGATGACTGAGTGTGCTTGTAGCTCTTCAGGCTTTGACCGCAGCAACAATAAAGAGATCCAGTAAGGGATTTGAGCTGGCCTGCAGACCTCATGCATGGAAATTTGGTTAACAAATGAAACACTGTTATTGTTCTCTGATTTTCCTGTAGGTTTTTCAGAGAGCCATAAGAGTGCTCACTCAGTTTTATGTCTGCTCTTAGACGTTTGCGTCTGAGAAGCAACTCTACACCACATCAGAAGTAACCACCATTTCTTCAGAATTGAAACAGTACATTTAAATCTTTTAGAGCAGCATGATCAGATTTGGCCTATGTTTGTTCTGAAAATGCTGAGTAAGCAGTGGATTTTAGAGCAGCATTTTGATCAGTCATGATTTGATCAGTGCATTTTAGAATTTATTATAGAGACACCATGAACTATGTGCTACCGTTCAAAGATTGGAATCAGTTGTCATATTTAGAGTTAAATAATAGGACAGTGTAGATTGAAATGTAAAAAAAATAGACACACAGTATTTTGGAAACAACAAGAAATTATAATATGATTAGGAAGGAAGGAAATGGTATTAAATGATCAACTGTAATCGCTTTATAGTAATTGTCACAAAATTACTATGAATATTGTATCATTAATGTCACCACTTTTCGAATATGAATCATATTGGATATTAATTTTAAAATTGTAGATGCTGTACAGATTTCTCAATTATTATGGAGTCATCTAGCAATATTATCATTAGCATTATATGTACATTCACCAAAATGTTTTTGGAACAATATTTCCAAACGTTTCAGTGGTAATGTAGGTGGAGGCCTGGCGGTGAGAGGTGTCTGCTTTAACTGACTTTGAGTCAAATACAGGAAAGTCTCTGGTAATTTGCTGTAGAGCTCAAACGCTTTCAGTATGTCAAACGAGAGCTGAGTGTGGAAACAGTGGGCAAACAAGCCCCAGAAGGCCACGACCTCGGTCCCAATCCAGTTTAGCTCTGAAATCAAGTTTCTCTTGCATCTGACATATCCTTACATTGAAATGCAGCATGTGTCCAGGGAGACGCCAGAAAGCCTGAAGTCATGGTTAGAATTCTCGGCAGCCACAGACCAGAGAACACTTTAGAGACTTTTTAGCAAGTCAGTTTGCATTGATGTACAGGTCTCTGTCAACATGCATTCTCACAAGAGGGTGGTTTGGCTTTAGAGATACATTACACTCCAAGAACATCTGACAAATCAAATAGTGATGCATATAATTGAACTGAAGATTATCTAGGCAAGATCAAAGTGTAATGTAATGTTTTCATGCTGTGCTAGACCATGTTTACAGATATGAAAGAGTGTTTGGCAACACAAGAAAAAGATTGTAGACATCTTAAAACTGTAGACCTATATTGTTGTCTAAATTAATTTTTAGATTTATTTTGACTGTATTCTCTTTTAGCAACATGCCAAGCTTTGTTTTGTCTCGTTTTGTGCTGTTAAGCTGTATTTTCCCCTTTGCAGGCATATTGTGGTCTGTGGTCATATCACGCTCGAAAGTGTTTCCAACTTCCTTAAAGACTTCCTACACAAGGACAGGGATGATGTCAATGTAGAAATTGTTTTTCTCCATAAGTAAGTACATTTGAGTTCTTTTAGTTCTTGTTAAACAACACAAAGGAAACTTCATAATCAGGCTAGAAAGTGTAATTGCACTAGACCTTGAAAATAAGGTATCAGCTCATCAGGAAGTATCTGATCTTTGGACAGGTTTTTATATAATTTTGACAAAAACAGAACATCAGTCTCCAAATATCACTCTCTCTGTCTGTATTTGTCTCTCTTTTCTTCAGTATTTCCCCTAATCTTGAGCTGGAAGCCTTGTTCAAACGTCACTTCACTCAGGTGGAATTCTACCAAGGATCTGTTCTTAACCCTCATGATCTGGCTAGGGTCAAGGTAACTTCCTCGTATGATTGTACATAAAAAAGCAAAAGTTTCTAGTGAGGAGATCTACCACAATAATGTTTTCCAAGTTAGTCAAACGCTAGGGGGCACTCCAGAGAGAGTCCAAAATGAATGGGTTCCTGTGGAGCTTTTGTGCAAAATGGTCATTTGTAAATGGTTAATCATTTTAAACAGACAAATATACTTTGTTTCCTCAACATAAAGCAACATAAAATATTTCCACACTCCTGTTATATTTTTGAACACTCTTCAACTTCTTTTATTAGACTTTCTTTGCCTTGTAAACATGCAGTCTACAGACAATGTATATATATATATATATATATATATATATATATATATATATATATATATATATATGTATATATATATGCACTCTTTTATCTGTGGAGACATAATTCGTTAATAAATGTCCATATTTGTTTGCTAATTACTCTTGCCCTTCATGTTATTTCATTGCTGAAAAATGTAGATTGAGTCAGCAGACGCGTGCTTGATTCTTGCAAACAAATACTGTGCCGACCCTGATGCTGAAGATGCCTCCAATATAATGAGGTCAGTTTTTTTTTCTACCTTGTTTGAGTCTTAAACAAACTATCCACCGTTAATCTTTTCCCTTTTTGTATGCTTCTGTTTATGCTGATTCAAACAAGCAGTCTCTTTGTTTTCGAATGTGGGTACCTCATGCCTATGGGAGAGTATCATTGATGTTTGGACTGTTGAGGTCTGTCAGGCCCCTCTGCAGTGAAAGGGAGGTGTGAATGAAATACTCAGAAAGGCCTGTATCGAGCTCTGCTAAATGCCTACAACCTCACATGTTTAATCTGGACCCAGATAAAAAGCCCTCAGAGGAATTTCCTCCTCTCCAAGTTGGTCAAAACCACTCTGGGAGGGCAGAGGCAGTGAGGGTACCCATTTTTCACTTCATTCAGACCGTGTGCAGGTTTTCCATCCAGCCCTGACAGGCTAGGAAAAGCAAATATATATTTTTTTTAGGCTGGAATGTGAGTGCTCTTCAACACCCTCCTCCTATAAAGACCTAATGTTGCATAAAGCAGCTTCATATGCAAATAAATTCCTCACCTCCTTTTTTACGAGCCTGGAGAGAGAGAAACAAAGTGGAGTTCAAAAGGAATGTCCCAAGTCCAGCTTTCACCTCACTTTTCACAGGCTCGGCTGTCAAAACGAAAGATTAATTAGGTTTAGCTTGGAGCTGTAACTTATCTATGTGTTTCTTTTTTTTACAGAGTCATATCCATTAAGAATTACCATCCAAAGATAAGAATAATCACTCAAATGTTGCAGTACCACAACAAGGTAACTTTGCAGTTTCACTATTGTTTCTGACTTTGTGTTAAAATTGTGTAATTACATGAATGTTTTTTGCGCGTTGCGCCATGGTTACATTTACAGATGGTTTTTGGATGGTTACTCAAAAGATAAGGCCTTACAAATTATTAATAACTTCAATTAATGGGATTATTTTACTGTTTACTCAAAAAAGTATTCTCATTATTCATTAATTTACTTCTGCAAGAATCATTTCAGTGCGTTATTTAGAAAGAAACAGCAAACAATGTGGATGATGCTGTTTGAAAACCAAGAAAACAGTCCAAAAACAGCTGCCTTAAAATAAACTCATTAAGAATAAAATATATAGCATATTCATGAGTGAAAATGTAGTCCGGCCTGTTTAGTTGAGATTTGGGTTTTTGCTTCTTCTTTATGCTTCAGTTTCATATTAGATGCTTCAACAGGTTATTCTCAAAGTTTATGGCACTTCCCACACTGTTCATATTCACAATCCAAGTCAAGCAATCAGATGTTGCACATAGCAAATTACATACAGTCATATGCAAAGGTTTAAACTTCACTGGTCAAATTATAGGTTTTGTTAATTTTCTAAGTCTAAATAAGTTCCTGACAACCTCATAACACCCTCTACAGAGAACATACTTAAAGATTTTACCTGTTATTTACTTTATTAGTTAATTCTTAATTAATAATTATTAGTTTAACACAATGGACAAAACTACAACATAAATTGTGGGCCATAACATTTGCACAGGCCACATTGTGTGTTTTATTTTTTTTCCTGATATGTTTAATAATAAACAGTAGTTGTGTATTAAAATGTGCAGAAGTGTGTTTTCTGTAGATGTATTTTCACTTAGAAAATCGACAAAACGTCATTTGATCAGAGTTGTCTGAACTTTTGCATATGACTGTATATGAACAGGCACTGATAAGAGGAAATTTGTATTTTTAATGCATCAAAGGTAATTAATATTGCTCTGTTAGAAATGAGTAACACAAGTAGCCAGTCAGTAACTGTAATGTGATTACAAGAATTTAACCTGTAATGCGTTACACTGCATGATTGCAGGAACAAGTAATCGCATTACTGTAACATGTTATGTTTTACTGCGTTACCCCCAAAACTGTTTACAGATATGATTGAACCACATTTTCCATGACATTAGAACTTATCAGTGTATCTCAGTCATCTGGACAAAAATATTCTTCTTCTGAAGTGAATGTAACTGTAATGTTAATGATAATGAACATTTCTAAAAAGTAAAAAGATTATAAGGCATTGCAGAAGGAAACCATCTTGAATTCGTCTTGTCCTGTCCCCTGTGTGTTTAGGCCCATCTGCTAAACATTCCCAGCTGGAACTGGAAGGAGGGTGATGATGCGATCTGCCTGGCTGAGCTGAAGGCAGGCTTCATTGCCCAGAGCTGCCTGGCACAGGGCCTGTCCACCATGCTGGCCAATCTCTTCTCCATGAGGTCATTCATCAAGGTACTGTCAGCTCTGTCCTTTGGCTCTGATAAAAGAAAGAAAGAACGAAAGAAAGACAGAATGAAAAAACTCGCAGCCATCCTTCCTCAGCCTGAGATAGTAGAATCAGCCTCCCAGTCCATTCCCACTGCTGCTCAATCACTGGGGTCATTATGCTGCGATGTAAATCATCTCCTGAGCCCTGGCGTCTCATTTGGGACCCGCTCAGGACAGCAACACAGCAATGCTGTCACCATTATGAGGTAATTTATATGAGTCAATGGCTCTGCGGAGGCGCGAATGTAAATTAGTGGTTTTTCTCGTGCTGAATTTACCGTCCCCCTGCGTGCTGATATAGCGGGGAAATGTGAACCATGTGTCTGTTCCATAGTCAACGAGCAGCGCCCCAAAGCAGTCTGTATTTATAGTCCAACTGAGCCAGACTGCCTGAGTGGCGCATACACACACACACGCATACACACACAGCTCTGTCACAGGATGCATCCTAATGGATGAGAAAACATCTGATCAAAATAGTGCAGTGCTGTCTATGACAGGGAACTGAATCACACCAGCCTGTCTCCGGCTTGGCTGCGGATTTGTGGATTTTGAAATGAATGGGTGAGGGTTTGGGGATGAATGAGTGTTCTAGGGTATCCACAGGTCCTTAAAATGTCCTAAATTTAATTGAATACATATAAGGCCATAAAAAGTCTTAAAGGGCTCTTAGCATGATTACCAGAATTTTCTTCACTTTTTTTTGTTTGTTTTGACATTGATATCGGATGTAAATGTTGTTAAAGTTTCAAAATGTATATGGAAACTAAGCTGCCAAAACAAATTTTGAATTAATTTAAGTGCGTTTGGATACAGTCGTGTGCTAAAGTTTGAACACTTACGGATAAATTACATTTTGATGATTTTTAGATAAAAATACAACAAACAAACTGAAATATGACAATTTTCTCTACATTTTTCAGTGCAAATTTAGTTACTGGATGTAACATATTGGAAAAAATAATACAAAATGTATTAAAGGTGCCATAAATTTTGTTAAATTCAAAAAGTATGTTAAATTCAGCAAATAAACAGTAATTGTGTACTAAAATGTGTGGATGTGTTATTATAACTTATTTGCACCTAGAAAATCAACACAAACAATTTGACCAGAGGTGCCCAAACTTTTGCATTCAACTGTATATCTCCATATTTAGCCTACAACAGTTTAGCCCTGCCCATTCATGTGGAAGTTACAAGGAGCAGCCCAGACTGCTTTTTGAACAAGGCACGATGCAAGGCAGCCAATCAGAATAGAGCACATTTTCATATATCAGTCTTCAAGGCAGACAAATAAAAGAAAGCTTAACTAAATGTTCATGTAAAACTGGATTGTGGCTGTTTTTGTAACTTAAAGCCACACATATGTCATAAGTGGAGCTCGGGGGAAAAAAATTAAATACAAAAATGGGCATATGGGCCTTTACATTTTTGTGTTTTCCCTTCCGAGGTCTTTAAATGTGTAAAAATGTTATGCCACAGAATGTGCTGTGTCTAATATATTAATCCACAATTTATTACACTAAAAATATACTGCTTCATCTGTAACTGCCAGTAGGCTACTATGCACCTTTACTGAACTGACTGTGTTAATTCTGTTGCACTAATGGTTTTAAACTGCATTACTGCTGGTATTAAAAAGATCTTAAAAAGACTTTATTAAAAAAAGGAGTCTAAACCTAAGGATACCCTTCAGACTTTTGGGGTCAGTGTCAGGTGAGGATGGATTCAGATGAAGAGGAGTCGTACTGTGGAGCTGCACAGAGATCGTGAAATTTATTTCCTATTCCAGGAGGGGCCGTAACGTTGGCTTTGATTTCTGGACTCAGTGCAAGCTCTTAACATTAAGGTGGAGCTTTTCTCTTTGAGAGAAACATTCTCATGTCATAGAGAAATGAGGAATAACTCTATAGTGACTGTTAAAGTGTGGTATGTGTGGAAACATCTGCAGGGTACATCACTCCGCTCATAAAAACACTGGAGACAGGATCAAGACCACCCATGCCAGACTACAACACACACACACGCACTTCCAGCTCTTAACGAAAAAGACTTCTCGCTCAAACATACGGGCACAATTTCAAACAGCCTGCCGTAGTGCTTCCTGCCCATCAAAGTGCTTCTCTAAATCTGTCAGGCAAGTCATTGAGAGTGGAAAAGAAGAGGTCAGCATCAGCACATCTACTGTTCCTGGTGTGTTTTGAACACTAAAAATAGGCTACTGTTGTTGTTCAGTGGCAGTTTATTTGAAATTAAACCATAATGTGCTTTTTAAAACTGTCTGGTGTTATATATTCACTGTTTCGTTCTTGCCAGAGAAAATTATATGAACAGTGAGTGTAGGGTTATACAGTTATATGCAAAAGCTTGGGTACCTCTGGCCAAATTACATTACATTACAATTTTTTAAAAATTACAATTTTCCACAAATGTTAATGCACAGTTACTTTATATTTAATTACATTAAGAAATGGACACGATTCTATTTGTAAAGTCTTAAAATGTATTTAAGTCATTATACATCAATTGACTCATTAGAACTGGCTAGGTTGGTCAAGAGTCTTAATTAGGACTTGTCAGCTGATGACAATTCTAAAGCGTAATAAATCTTTTGACTTTTCAAGCCATGTGCTAACACTCAACAACCAAGGGCTCCTCTAAGAAGCTGGATGATGATCTATAAATAAAGCTAACTAATTTCTACAAAGCTGGGGAAGGCCATAAAAAGATAGCAAAGTGCCTCCTGCTTCCAGTTTCTGCTGTCCAAAATGCCATTAAGAAGTGGCAGTTAAGGGGAACTGTAAAATTCAAGGGAAGAGCTGCAAAACCAAAAAGACTTTCAGATAGAACTGCCCATATGCCAGAAATGCAAAGCAAAACACCCATGTGACAGCAAAGGACCTACAGGAAGGTTTAGTTGACACAGGAGTAATGATACACCGTTCTACTGTGCAGCATTGCTTAACTGTGACCTCATTCACAAGTATTCAAAACAGCATCTATATACGCTAGAGGCATTTTGGAAAGTGCTGTGGACTAGTGAAGTTAAAAATGGAGCTCTTTGGCCGCAATGACCAAAAGTGTGCTTATAGAAATAAAAGGTGCAGTGGGGAGCTTATGGGGTGTTGCCATGCAAAGAGTCTCTCAAGAGGCACAACGCTCCTGGTAGAAGGACATTCGTTGAAGTTGTTTTTGTTGTGTGTGTAAATGTATTGCATTTGGGTTGTTAAATTGTGTTGGTGGGCTTTGTGTGTGCATTTGTCAACCCCTCACTGGCTTAGTGTTGGGGTAGTGCTGGGCTGGGCATTTCGTTGTCTTTATTGACTATTTTTTGAATAGTGTGCTGCAGAGATGGTGTTGCTTCTTTTTACTTCTGAAAGCAGCAAAATAGGTCATTTGAATAGGAGTACCCAGAGTTTTGCGTATAACTGCAGCACTGAACATGGAGAAAGGCATTTAGACACTCTTATTATTTCCATTAGTGTGAAAGAGAAGGATTTTTGTTGCATTTGTCAGAGTAGTAGATAATCACAACTAGCAGAAAACCACAGCCTGCGAGGCAGCTTGTCCCCAATGCCGTTGTGACCATGTTTGCAACTACGTGCCTGGATCATGTTGCAAGTGGACTCTGTAATTTTAAACAGAAACAAAGACCAAACGTTATATTTAAAAAAAAATCCCTTTGTTGTGATGATGGAGTAACAGAGGCATATATTATTTGGAGTGACAGAAGATTATGTTATTTGCGTTTTGCAATGCAAAGCCAAGGCTCTCTTGCTGCCAGAAAAGAATTATTACAAGTAAAAGTGAAAATGCAGGCTACAACAAAACATTTTGCTGGAATCGAAAGTAAATAAAATGTCCTTTAATCATAAAATGTCATCCTTTCATTTTAATTGGCAAAAACACAGTAAGGAAAGTTCCTAAAGTTGTGGTGCAGCCGAAGTCATCCTGTGTGCATTCTTTGTTTGGTTCGTTTGAGGGAACAGTGTTCTTTGAGAAGTCAGTTTCCACAGCCTTTGTCGTTCGACTAAACACATTGCGTTAATTAAGGAGGCAATTAGGAAAAATAGGTCAGCAGTGGCACATTACACTCTTCAGCGAAAGCCCAACAGGACAATGTGTGAGAGTGCATCACCAATCTGTCTCATCCGATTCACTCAAGCAGAAGGGCTGGAATAGACTGCTCTGCTGCCTGGAATCGGGGCTGATTTGAGTGGGCACTTGGGAGACAAACCAGAAGGGCATAGAGAGGTGTTAATGAGACACACACACACACGCTTGCTCATATACACTCATACAGAAAAGTATTACTGTGTTGGCGATAGCACATGTATTACATGTAGAATAGACCTTTGGAAAGGCCATTAACCAACTAAGAAGCAATAACTTAGCTTAAACGTTAAGCTTTTGTCAGACCTCATGCTTTTTAAGTGCAGTAAACAGACGAATTTTTCGCGCTGACGATCAGACAGTGTTCCTCCTGCTCTCTGGAGGAACTCGAGGAAATAATAATTGTTCCGTTGCTGGAAAAGCTCATGCCTGTAGCATTTACATCCAGCCTGACAGGCCTGACAAAAATGTGTGAGGTAATTTAGGAAGCCCTAAGTAAATGGCTGCCATCTCTTCAGGGCAGGATGACAAGAGCCCTCCTATTAGCACAGTCCTTAAAGACGCTCGCCCCGAAAAAGCGAGCGGCTCTCAGCCCAGCCGAGACAGGGGGAGCTCTCTTTAGGAGTTAAGCCCGGCTTTGAAAGCCTTGCTCAGCCTGGCTGTCAAACAGATGCTGGCTCGGTGATGGCAGAGTAATGGCTGAGGGTTTGCCTAATGGCACTGCTGCTTATCAAAGCTCGCCCTGCCCTGCTCCTCACACATGTGTAATGAGGGTGTGATGAAGAAGCCAGACCTCAACACCCATACAGACAAATACTGTATGCAGCGTTCTTTCAGCTTCCTGCTGGACCCTGTGCTTTTTTGTTGTTTTGGTTCCGCTCTTCAGCACTCTGGAGATGAAATTAGACAAGAACTATGAAGCTGAATGCTAAATGTCTGATTTAATTCAAGGATGATGACTAGCATCAAAAGAAGGATACGCCATCATGACTTTAGAGTGTTTATCACAAGATGTAACCCACTGGTAAGCTTTAAGAAAAGAAAGGCAAGGTTGCATTAACCCAAAAAGCATGTAAAAATTCACAAACCTGACCTGAACCAAATGCATTTCTTTTTGGAAGACAAGACTGCTGTCCTCTGAGACAAACAGGGACTGAAGATGATGTATTGCAGACTTGACAGAGAATTACCAGAGACGAGACCCAGCATCTGGTTATGTCTTTGATTCTCAGATTATTCTCTGAGATTTTCAGACAAGGTGTAGTCGATTTAGATTAATTTTATTGTTTATTTAAGATTTTATATGAGATAAAGGGTTAGTTGTGCTCCTACTTACTGTCCTCTGTAATGGGGGTACTATATATAAAATAGATTGGGTTTCCTTTGTGTTCCACCCAGTATACAGATAAATACCCACCGACTGATGTTAACAACCCAATGTTCCAGCACAGTGCTCAGACCTGTAGCTGCTGATATACAGAATGTAGTAATTTTAATGGGCCTGAAGGTGATTTCATCTAGTTAATATTGCATGAAGCATAAGGCCTATGGCTTATGTACTTTGAAAATAAAATTCCTTTTGTATTGATATACCGTTTCAGTTCTTTTTAATTGCACTGATTATTGTTTTCAATGATTTTGTTACTTGTTATTTGTAATTTGTACTTTTTTGGGCCAATTTTCATTTTCATTTTTCCACATGGCTTTTCTTCAGTTTACTTCTCATTTCACTTCTAGATCTGATATAGAGTATGGATGTGTGAAGCCATACTCATGTCACTGATTTCATTAAACTCTGTTACTCATCTTTCTTTTCTGTACAGATTGAAGAAGACACGTGGCAGAAGTATTATCTGGAGGGCGTGGCCAATGAAATGTACACTGAGTACTTGTCCAGTGCCTTTGTTGGGCTTTCCTTTCCTGCAGTTTGTGAGTAAGTAAGACAGTTTTCTTAAATCTCAGATTTACATTTCAGCATTTTGATTATTATTTAAAAGTGCACAGTTTCACTAAACATTAAACAATAGTTTATAGTAATTATATTCATAATGTTACAGTCTATATCTGGTATACTCTGTACTTCTTCATATTTTTGAGTGTTAAATTTGCTATTTAGTGCTGTTCTTTACCTATTGTACCATTGTTTTAAATCACAATTATGTTTTTTAATGTTAAAGCTATTAGCTAAAGTACAGTAGTTTTACTGTATAGTGGTAAAAATTATGTTTAGGTATTAGAACATCTGTGGCTGCACCTGATGCAACACTGATCTTTTTTATCTCTCTTGCTTTCAGGCTGTGTTATGTGAAGCTCAAATTGTTGCTGATCGCTATTGAGTACAAGTCAGAGCAGAGGGAAAGCAGGTTTGTCCCCCTTTGGTCTTCTTCTTTCATCACAGCAGATTTACCTGACCAAAGAGGGGCAAAGCAGTTGGGTCCCTCTCTGGTCCTCCTCACAGTCCCACACCAGCACACCCCAACTTCTACTCCACAACCACAATTACAATTATATGTACTTTCATCACGATTTTCATTACAAAAAAAAATTGATCAAAAAATTGGACCACTTAGGGAAAACAAAGTTAAACATTACAAAAAGCTCACTCAGCTTTTTATTTCTCTATAATTTGTGATTTGGTTGGGAACTGGACTTTAGATGCATCTCATTGCAGTAGTAGGAGCATGTTACAGCCCATAGAAATACTGGAGAATTGTTTAGATCATTGGAGGTTGTTTCCCTGATTGCAACCCTCACTATAAAATAGATGACGATGACTGTATGTATGAGTCAATGTGACGCGATAGAGCCATGACATCTGCTCAAACTCACTGTGAAGTATTGATGAAGGCTTTACTCTCGCAGTAATAAGCCTCCCATCAATAGCACTCTTGTTACATTTTGTTAAGTGAACCATGAGAACTAATAACATGAAGTACTCTGTCTCAGTAACCTCAACTTGCCAAATCCCACCACCCCTCCCACATCCTCAACCTGTCTTCAGATGTTTTTGTATAACTTCTTACTAATGCATTTGATGTTCATAACAACTAATGAGTGTGCCGTAAAACCCAACTGGCCTAAAAATGACCCAAAAAACCTCAAAGACATAAAAATTTAATATAAAAAGTTCCATTTGGCCTTGATCACTCATGGTGTGTGGTCTGAACAGTAGAATTCAAAGTTTTGGTTTCGGGCATAGTCATTTTGTTTGGATAAATCTAAATTACACCTAAATATCACGTAAATTAGCTATTTTATCATGTACTTACACAATTAAATGATGACCACATGTTTTCAGGGTGTAGAATAATATTTGTTTTAAGTTGATATCGTAAAGTTTTTTTTTTTGTTTTTGTTTTTTTTGGGTTTTTCAGTTCAATTTTGCCTGCCTAAAAATGTCTAGATACATGACTAGAAGGAGTAGATACATGCCTATACTCTCTGTTTCGAAAGCCACTCTCTTCCAGTATTGTTGTGCCAACATATACTGTGTTTCATCTGAAGTGAAAGCAGAGGACTTTTATTTAATCGGCCAATCATCTTAATACAGCTGGTGTACATTTGTGACCACAAGAGTGTTAAGTGTCTGGATTACTCATCTTAATGTCTATAGAGGGCACAGCACAGTCTTTATCGTGTTATTGAAGACAAAGTGTGCGTACTCTGGTGGATTAATTTTTATTCTTTGCGCCATAGGTAATACAGACAATTGCTTTTTTTGCTTTGTTGTTGTTTTTTTTGCCCAGCAACACATTTTTTCTTTAAAAGGTAACTGAATAGTAACTGTTTTGCCCTCTACTGTAATCTTACTTTTAAAGCAAGATCAGTTATGGCACAAATAGGATTGACACTTTAAACATAACCTCCTTTTGTTTTAAGTCCATGGCATCATGTAATAAATGTGTGATTTGTAATGTTTTCTTGTTGTTTGCAGAAGCAGAAAGCGGTATGCCCTCTTCATTATCTTACCCCTCCAGACTTTAGATCCTCCATCTGTCGGATAAAACTTAAGGATATTGTACCAACCCCCTTCTCAAATCTGGCCAAATCTCTTACTTTCTTATTGTGATCCTTGTGCTTAATGCACTAACTTCTTTGCAGGCAGAAACAGTAGCTATTTATCATTTGCGTCACTTGTTTCTTTGTCTGTACTGTTTACGTATCATCTCCATGTATTCTGCTTTGAGTTTCCTTCTTATATTTCTTTGTTTTTAATTCCCCACCTAAGTTCTTTTTCAGTGTCCGTCAGCTGTGCACATATCTGCTCAAACTAATAAGTTATTTCCTTCTGTTTTTGAGCGCTTTTCTCCATTCCGAACAGTACTTCATGTTTATAAAGTTTCTTCCAACCAAGATCATGTTATGACACACAGAAGAAAGTGCTCTGAAGAGTCAATGGTCATATGGAACCTTGACCATCTATGAAGACAGCGCTATAAACGTTGTTAACTCCAGTATCAGTGTCTGACTGAGCTGGGAATTTGTCCTGTCAGGTCACATTTAAGCTCATGTGGCATCAAATACTGTAAATAATATAGTATGTACCAAGTCTGGTTAAATGAGGCCACTGTCCATAACAGCCATCTTTCTTTAACTGCCATTGCCACTCTAACACCTTATCACATGTGCATGTGTGTGTTTAGGGTACGTGTGTCGGTTGTGGTGCGCGTGTGTCTGTGAGTGCGTTGCGCAAGTCCCTTTGCCATGTTCGTTTGTAAGATATAAGAGATAAAAGAGAAAGGTGTGCGTGAGTGCGCGTGAGTGTCTCTGTTTGCGTCTTATGGACCTGTCACTCATCATGTACCCTATTGCCTGTGCGTCTCTGAGTAGATGTTTATGAAGTGAGGTCACTTCCTGTCAGTTTGGTGTTCTATACAACAATCCAACTGCACAGAAGTTACTGCAACAGTTTGCATCTACGTGCCGCTGTGCGGTGGCTGCACCTGCTCTCTCTCTCTTTAGATGTGCCGTTGGTTGTGACACTATTGGTAACCGCATGCCTGAACACTCTTGTCACGTGACACGTGTGATGCTTGCCTTGTTTCCCATAATATGAGGTTTGATCAGATTATAGGCCTCTGTTGCCAAGTGATTGGAACACACTGAGTGCATAGCGCTTGGCCAAGCATTGTGAAAAATCTCAGATTTGGGGAGCAACGTGTGTGGATATGTTGGTGAATGAGTCAGTCCGTTTACTTTGCCATCTTCTGAACAGCATGCAGATTGTGCTGCTTGTTATAAATCGGGGGGAATTTAATCATATAAAGCTAATTTTTTAATCATTTCTAGCTGCTAGCTTGTTTGCTAGCTTGCTAGCTGCTAGCTTGTGTCTTTGCTAATAAGGTTGACCATTGCTTTATGAAGGATTAAGTCCCCCTCTTTTTAGTCTTCATTTTTGATAAAATGATTGTTGTAGAGCCCAGAGGAAAGAGCTTTTGACAACACTCTATCTATATTCGTTCATATACCCGCATGCACATGTAAAACTGTAGGATAGCTTTTTGCTCTAATGTGGCTGTAATGCTTTAGTGGGCTGCGGTCCCCAGCTTTTCTCCCTTTCATCTGGGCTCTGGGGCCTTGCTGCTCTGGCCAGGCCGGATGTCTGTCCAATGTTACAGTCACTACTCAACTCATTGATGACTCCTAACCAAAGGCAAGCATTAATGACTGTGTTGTGTCGTCCCGTCTTTGTCTAATTAACGGGGAATGATACAGTGGCTCAGTAGTGGCTCTGTCATCACTACTGAACTTCTACATTGACTCCTGAAGTGCTTCTAGAAATAAGCACAAACGTTTAGCAGGACTGTCCGATCAGAAAGTCCCCTACCACCAAGGGAGGTCACACTGAGATGTTGACGGTCTTGACTAGCATTTACCTTCAGTAATGAATGACTTTGATTGATTGGAATGGGCTGCTCTATGACTCAAAGCCTGGAGGCCATACTTTTGGAGAAATGTACATGTTGATAAACCTCATAGTATATTACTGTTGTACTTTAAGTAAAGTACAATAAAATTTGTACAAAAGTTAAATCTATTTCACTGTGCAATCAAGAGAGAATACTTTGGCATGTACATATCTTTGGAATTTGACTGTATGAGCCCAGGCCTGTTTATTCAAATCTTCTGCAATGCATCTCAGGATCAGACCATTATAGAGCATGCCATGGCTTACCAATGCCATTAGCATAGAGTCTGAGGCTCTGGGTGCATCCCTAACTTTAAAAGGCCTGGTCATTCCCTAACATTCCACTCCTCAGCACTAAAACAGGTAAACCACGGCTGTTTGGAAGCAAACCTTCTGACCATCTGTTTCAGTTGATCTGTCAATCAGAATGGTCCAACTAAAACCACCCACATGAAAGCAATTTTAATTCTTTCTTTTATTTCATCCCACAGACCAACCTGAAACTGCCATTACAAAAGAATTAAAATTGACCAGCTGTACTACTGTGTATTTTGCTTATTTGTTTTTGGATATGACACCAAAGGCTGAAATAAGCCCACCCACAGCATATTCCTTTGTGCCGAAAGTATTAGCTCCCCATCCTCCCAGCAGATCAAAAGTTTAGTGGCAAACTAACTGAATAAGCGACAGTACAGTGTAGAGGCTCTTTTGGCCCTTTAGTATTCTCTGAGGGGCGGAGAATTGTGTGTACCATTCCTCTTGATTAGAGCATTTGAATGTGCAATGTTTATTTGCTTTCTTTTAACAAATGTGATCTTCTTTCTGACTGAACAGTATTTTGATCAACCCCGGGAACCATGTTAAGATGCAGGAAGGAACCTTGGGCTTCTTTATTGCCAGTGACGCCAAAGAGGTCAAAAGGTATTCATGTCCTTCAGCAAAGAGACTTTTCACTGAATGATAATGATCTGTTTTAGGGATGCACAGATATAGAATTTGTGAGGGCCGACAATGATAACCAATAATTGTCCTTTTTTTCACTGTAATATATACAGATATGATATTTCCATTGAAAAAAAAAATATTTAGTCCCTCTATCTGTAAAGACTTCATTATAATTAGCCATGACAGAGCTAAATCAGATGTGGTAGCTTTTGTAAGTATTCATGTTTTTGGAATCGTGCAGTCGTTGGTGAACTTAGCATTAGAAGTCTTGCCTGAGGACTCTTACTGGAACAGCAGTAGTGTTACTCTCTGGGCAGGATATAGAACCAACCCCAAGTCTTTCATATGTGAGGTGATGGGTTTATTCACTGTGCTGCCTATTTCAGTGAGTTAGTTGTTGAAAAGATCTGAAGTGCTCAGCATCAGTCTGAGAGTGTGTGAGCCAAAAATGTGACTGTAATTATGGCTGTTGTGGATTCATTTATTATTTTTCTTTCTTTAGTTTTGTTAATTTCCTTACTATTTTAGTCACTTCTTCCTTATTTCAAATTGCAGAACACACCAATGACTGATCACATGACTTGCTTCAGCAATTAGACTGATAATAATTTCCCATTTATTGACAAATGATATATTGACTGTAGATACATTGTGCATCCCTAATCAGTTTTCCCATGCAAGTTCTCAAATGATGCCACTGTTTTCTGTATGTGCTTAACGGAGAACTGCCATTTTTATGCTGTTTCTCTCTCAGAGCGTTTTTCTACTGCAAAGCTTGTCACGATGACATCACAGATCCCAAAAGGATCAAAAAATGTGGCTGCAAGAGACGTAAGTACACCAGGCCATCCCACTCCCCTCGCATTTCACTGGCTCTCAACAGGAGTTGACTAATGTTCTTCATAGGATATCAGTGACACTACTTTGTTTTTCACTTTTTAGTATTGTATGTAGGCCTGGCCTATGTTCTTGGTTTAATCAAAAGTTATTATTTTATTGGTTATTTATGAGAGAAATCAATTTCTTTTGCTTGTTATTTTATGTTCATGTTTTTCATTGCACTTTTTGTTCAGAAAGTTTTTACTTTGTTAAAGACTAGAAAGTTAAAGGCCTTTGGATTTACTCAGTGCCTCTTGTTAAATGTAAAGACACCCAAAACATACTGATGCTAAAGGTTCTGCTAAAGCTAAGGGTCAGAGTGACCTTTACATCAGGAGCTTGCTCAGAATGATGCCAGATTCACAGAAGAGGCAGAGAAGAAAATATGGAGAGACTCACGTTATTAAGAAAGTGAACAAGAGAGAAGGCAGTTTGGAGGGGGGGTAGAAAGGGTCAATGAGTGATGACAAGGGGCGACTGCAGAAAAAAGAAGACAGCTAGTCATCAACATGCTAATGACGGCGCGAGAGGGAGAAGGAGACAGAGAGAAATAGAGACGGGAAGAGGCAATGACGTGATTAGCGAGGCTGAAGAGAGAGGCTGTCAGCCCACGCTAGCATCAGTGGGAGAGATGCCGAGATAATGGCACCAGTCAGGTGGAAAAACAAAAGGCAAAAAGCCCCGGCCCACCCTCGTCACACACACCGCAAACACACTCCTGGCCCCGCAATCATTTTACTAATCATATCCACCCTGTTTACCCAGAGAGCCCGGTGCTAGCGCTGCTCAGACTCGCCACTGTCATCTCCCACCGCCTCAGCCCAGCCAGAACACATTCTGACAGGAAAGCACTGAAGTAGAAAGAAGATAGTCATGAAGATTTGTGTTGCTCAGTGTAGAAGCTCAGGTGGCTGACTATTAGACTCATTGTCAGCAGTTATCGCAGCATAGATTAGATACAGTCTGATGTGCAGCTTTGCAGGTATTTCATTAGTTTAATTCCTCTGCTTTATTAATGATGATCACATGAAACCCTAAGACCCAAGTGCACCTAGCTAGCTTTATTTTACTAAGTGATAGTGATGTTTGAACAGAGGAACTGTTAATATGACTGTAAGAATTAGGGCTGTTACAATCATTAAATTTTAGCTTATGATTAATTGTCATGTAAATAATTATGATTAACAATTTAATTGTCTTTTTTGTTAATTTATAACTATTAAAGTACATGACTAAAGTGGCCAACTTAACTGATTAGCCTTCTTGCTTCCTAGCTATCTTCACTAAAAGAGTTGTCAAACATTTAATCTTGTGTAGAGTCAAGCTAATATATGTTTATTTCATGCTAGAAATATTAGAATTAGCTACACATCTACCAAATAAACATTATTTGGGCTACTGTTGAAAGATGTTAGACATGTATGCCTATACTGCTTTCTTTTATTTACACTTGTTTGCCTCAACTCAGCACACCCAATTTACATTTTGCTTGTTGCAACACATAATGACCATCAAATCTAACAACTGTGGAATCTTCATCTCAAATAACTGCGATTAGGTGATTATGTAATAACTGTGACAAGCTTAGTAAGAATAATGCATTGTTATTACCTGAAATATGTAAGCACTTGTCCAGACCATTTAGCCACGGGATAAATAACTCAGCTGAACAGGGCAAGGTTAGTGACGGAGCCTCTAAACTGTCCAAATAGCGGGCTTTTAAAAACACCCTGCGTTTCAGTCTTTTAGTTTGAGTCATCTCCGTAATTTTAATTCATACATGTCCCGCTGAAGGTTACTGAAGATTAGGTTGATACCGCAGGCACTGCAGTCTGACCAAAGCTACTTTATTTGTTTATTCTCTTTCATTGGCATGCCTCACTATGAGCTTTCGGTATAATTGACTTATGTTTTTAGCTCAAAAGAGGCTGTTTTAAATCTGCCTAAGTGAAAGAGAGATGACCTTTTCCATTGCTATAATGGAAGTTTGTGTTCTTCTTTTCTTTTTTTCTTTTTTTTTTCCTTTTTATGACCGTTGACAGACTTTCTGATGTATTTCCTTCCTTGCTGCCCTGGAATATGCCTCTTTATTTAAACCTCTCACTGGTAGTGATACATTGTGAGTAAAAACGGGTTCCCTGTGGCCCAGAGTGCAGTCTGTCTCTCTCTTTCTTTCCTTCTCTCTTTCTCTCTTTCTCTCTTTCTCTCCCTCTCTCTCTCTCTCTCTCTCTCTCTCTCTCTCCCCGCTAATAGTATATATCTATATCTATGTTGCATGTACGAGTCTAGCTGCTGCATCCTCCCCACGCCTCTCATCTCTACACTGTCCTCAGCCCAAACAAAAACACTGTAGAGTACAACCCAGAGACTGACCAAACCCCACCACCCTGCACAGCCCACCCCGAGCCCTCAGAAGAGAGCACCTTGTGGACCCACAACCTGAATTACCTGTGCATGCTCTGCCCATAGATGTATTATTTATGAACTGCTGTGTGGTTGGACAAACTTTACCAAACATTGTTAAATACCCCTGTCAGCCTGATGTTTTGTCAAAATATGTAAATCATGCAACATTGTTTGGGTCATTACATAATGTTAAGTTTCCAGTTTAAAATGCTCGGTCACCAGGAGGGAGTATTTTATTGTACGCTCTTTAAAATTAAGGTGCTAAAGAAGGTTCTTTGTGCAGTACCATAGAAGAAGTTTTCCTAAAAACTTTCAAATGCAACATGTGAGTGTGAAGAACCTTTTGAAAGTGCCTCCATATAATGTAAAGGTTCTAGAAGGAAATATCTTCTGACTTTTCAAAATGTATGCACAATTTATTCTTTGAGATGTAAACAAAGTCATTCAGAGTGGTTTGATGTGAAATGCTCTGTTCGAGAGAAATTTACTAACTATAGTGGTGGTGACAGGAACCAGGGGCCATAATGTATGCAACATAAATATTACATACTATTTTATTTACTATCCAAAACCACCAGTGAAGTGTTTATAAGTAATGTTGATCATAAAAATATAGTGGTAAATCTAAACAAATATGTTTTCTTTGGGTACTGTTTTGCCTCATATGGCATCTATGTACCTCTTTGCCATGAATGTATTTTAAAAATTAAGTTTTAGGTCTAATCTTCTTTCAAAACCAAAAAAAAAAAATGTGTACGGCATCAGGGAAAATATTCATGATGATTTTATATAGTGATTTGCTGTGAGGTGGCTTTTAGAGGTATTAAAGTCTTCAGATGTCTAGTTCCTGTCACCACTGTGAGCAATTCGAAAGTTTCTCTACAATAGAACGTATTACATCAAACCTCTCTGAATGACTTTGTTTACATCTCAGCCATTAAATTATGCAGAAATTTTTTAAAAATCACTGGACTTCCCCAATGTATATGCTGTCTGTCTGCCCTGCGATGGACTGGCAACCTGTCTAGGGTGTTTCCTGCATTCTGCCCATTGACCGCTGGGATAGGCTCCACCCGTGACCCAGAAGGATAAGCAGCTTAGAAAATGTGTGTGTGTGTGTGTGTGTGTGTGTGGGTGGACTTCCCCTTTAAATTGATATAGCACTCTTAAACTATGTGAAGTTCTTTAAACCTTTAATAGGTTTTTGACACTCACAGATTTAATTTTCAGACATGGTTCTTCAAGGAGCCAAAAGTGATTCTTCTTTGGTGTTGCTCAAAGAACCCTTTGTGTCAAACTTTTTCTTTAGGCATGTTGGTACAGACAATGGCATAAATTTGCTACTCTGCTAATGTGTGACCTGTCACATGCATACAAAATAAATATCAAATGACATTAATAAGTTTAGATGTTTTGACAAAGTTCTGTTGTGTCCTACAGTTTCTCATTAAATTCAATGTGTTCAACTTTGCAACAGTCGTTACGAAAGGACGCATTTGTGGTCAGAGCATGGCTAGGTCAGTTTTCCCAAGGGTTAACCATAGAATTATGGAATCAAGTCAATGTCCACTGGACTTTATAGCATAGCATATATCATCAGTCTAGGTCCATCCCAAAGCCCTGGTGTCCCACCTCCTCCACAAAAACCACACCCGGAATGAATGTGGTGACAATCCGAAATGTCAAGCAGATTGATACTCGTAACACCATTCATGGACTTAAAAGAGCCCAGAGGAAGGGAAAAATCCATCTCTGTCCATCCCCCTCACTGTCAGAGGCAATTTTTGCAAGATGCTGTGCTTTCAGAAAGCGGAAAGTGTTCTGTGGGAAGTTCTTCAGATTCTTAGACTTAACGAGCATTGTCTCCAAAACACAATCAAAACAATGTGGCCCCTTCGCTTCCACACTCCCCTCCGGCCCCCGCTGCCCAGGCCCCAGCCAGCTTCTCTTCAGCACACAGCGCTCATCCCTACTCTCCCGAATTGAAATGATCCAGCTCTGCATTTCAATTCTCCTCCGTACGTGGGCCCTTTTTTACTCACTGCCAATGATTAGAATACCTCGGCTTATTGCAGTCATGGCAGATTAGGGTTGAACTAGCTGCTGTACAGTAAGTGGCCTCTAGATGGCGGAATAGTGCTGTAGTTGAATTAGGAGTAGAAATTGAGCACTGAGGTCCTCCTAAACCTGTTTAGCAAGAATGCTGTCAGCAGAGGGGTTAGTTTGGTGTGAATAGAGGGATTTTTCTCACTTGTCACTTGCTTTTCTTTATATAAGTCTCCCAGTGGAATGTGGTGTTTTGTTTTTCTCTTTTTTCCCCTTCATTTTCTTCATGTTTATTCGTGGACATGTGCCGCCTGTGTTTTGGTGATGTGAAGTCATTTTTGTAGGTACTTAGATGTGATTTCTTAAGCTTTTCTTTTCAGAAAAAGGCTTCATTGTGATCTGTATTGCCTTTGTTTTGGAGTGCGTGGTCCAAACGGTATTGTTACAACATTAATCATCACAGGTAGAGAACCTCACCAATCATATCTGTTTGTTATTTG